CACGCCGCTGCTGCAGTCCTGCTGCGCCTCACGGGGAGAGGGAGGAGCCCAACAGCTGATTCATATGCCAAGAATTTGGAGTCTTTTTCTCAAACCGACGGGGATTGGACAATGAATGTAGTTAACTGGTTCCTGCTCACACTCCAGATTTAAATTCTATTAAAATTATCAGCAATTCAGCAAAAAAAAAAAAGAAAAGAGAGAGAGAGAAAAAAAAAAAATCTGTAAATATGATAGTAATAAAATAGAGCATAACAAAACTGTGAAACTTCCTCAAGCCTTGTCAGTGGTTAAAATATTTAACACCCCCATCCTGACACTCTTATTGACAGATGTTCTGGTTTTTACACCCTCCCCCAAAAAAAAGGAAACCGGTGGTTTCTAGGTCAGTGGAATTTTGTGGAGAGTCTGGGGCAAGAGTGGGTTAATGCCTCGGAGCGTTGTGTGGAACAGGTCACTGGGAAAGGCAGGTAGCTGGTATAACATAGAGTCTGTGCATCATTCTAAGTGCAAGGGTTTGGGGAGATGTTCCTGCAGCCCCCCTCAATCCAAGGATAGTAGGTTCCCTCCCTTTTGTGTTACCTCCCAGCAAAAAGAAAAATGTTCTGTTGCTCTTCGGTTTTCCTCCTTGGTTCCACTTGCTGATGTCCTTCTAAGAGATAACGGAATTGTGAGGAAACATCTTTCATAGCCACATTAAATAAGAGAAAGATTCATGCAATTATTTTTTTTTTTTCCTTAATAAATTGCACCCTCAAAATGCATGCAAATGAGGAGATAACTACTGTGTGACTGGTTCTCCTGGCTGCTGTTAGGGCAGGTCTCTTCTGTTCAAGACACCGTTCCTTGTCTAAAAGATCCAGCTTGTTCCATCGCCTCATGGCCGTAGCAACACTAGCTTTTCGTTCCTTTCTGTGATGTTGATGGTAATTTGATTCAGAAGCCTTAAATTAGTGATGACTGGCGTGATGATGAAGTCTAAGCTGTGTGCCATCATTTACTTCACAAAGCAGCGTGGTCTACTAACCAGACACAACACCCTCTAATACAAAGGTTGGAGTTCCATTATATTTTTTTTTTTCTTTAACAGGAATTCGTATTTGGTGTGGCTTAACTGTATTTCAGAAGGTCATCAGACTAACTGTCAAGACTGCTTCCCTGAAACATTTTTGTGCTATTGTTTAAAAAAAAAAAAAAAAAAAAATTAAAACAGTTGGCGTTAATAAAAATGTCAATGTGAAATTCACGTCCTGATTTTGTGTTCTGTTTGGAGCTGGAAAGTGTTGCTGTTTTCAAAGGACTTAAAGCTCTGCGGGAAGAGCG